ACACTAGGGATGGAAGGAGATGTCTTTGGACAGTCTCAATGAAAGCAGCATTTTTGCATCTAGGAAGGCTCATTCGAAGAAAATATGCACCTCACCTTTAAGCTAGAGATGCAAACATTAATCATAGGAGTTTATCGCATTGCCTTTCTTCCCATGATGGACATGGGATGTAACTTTAAGAAGGCTGATCTTATCACATTTCCCCATCACTGGGCAGTACGCAGCCCATATGCAACCTGGACTTCTCCAGCATTTTTTCAAGAATGGGATTTTCCTGTTCTTGAAAAGCTGTGGCAGAAGCCTTGGTTGTGTACTGCCCTGGTTGCGTACTCTTGGGATTTGGAGTTTTCTGAGCTTTTTAAAAAAAATCTGTTGAAGTGTTCCAATGGCTCCCTAAATTAAATAGCCCAGAATTCCATAGGATGTAGCCATGGCAGTTAAAGGGCTTTAAAAAGGGCTTTAATTGAATGGTGGGAAATGACCCTATATAAGGAAGAGCACTTCATGCAATTCTGCATAATAGAGTCAATTTCACACATTTTTGTTGAAACACTGATTCTCAGTAGCTTTGCCATCAAGCAGGTGAAGCTCCTATTTAGAAGTAATTCTTACTGGTGCCTTCTCACTAATGCCCTGTACAGACCAGCCAAAAGGGCTGGCCTGGGGGTGGAGTCAGGGCATGGCGACTGCATATCAGTTATCCCAACTCTGGCTTGATGCCACCTTCACACTGCACCAAAGGAGCGCAGAAAAGCTGCCGCTGCCATGGTGGCAAGGGCGGCTTTTTGCCACTCCAAAAAGGAATGGCATTTGCCAGCTCTTTTTGGAGTAGCAAAGTGCTGGATCAGGGCTGTGGCTTGCGTTTGCTGTGGCCCGATCCAGTGCTCCCAGGGTGGCACGGAGCCGCCCCTTAGGTGCCGTCTGCAGAACCTCAAAGTTCATTTGATGAGAAAACATTAACAAAGCTTTGTCAAACCATTTCAGCTGATGAGGGCAAAAAGGAACATTCAGAAGAAACTATACTCTACTGTAGAAGCACTTAGATATGTGCACGGCCACTTATGTCATTCTTGGAATGCGAAAGGTCTTGCTTGTTGATGCACTTGCCCTCTGTTTTTCTTTCGAGTACTTGAATGTCACTTAAAGCACAACAAATTGCTTTGCTGGTATCTCATTACAGCTATCCTGGGAAATCATAAAGTCAAAACAGAAGCAGCTAAAATCACAAGGCAAAAAAAAAAAAGTCAATGGCACTGAAGAGAAAAAAATGAAATTTGTTGGATTCAGTTACTGAGGCTTTTGAAAGAACTGGAAAGAATTTCTTGATAGCCTTTGCACAGTATGTGAGAGAAGGACCAAACCATGGTAGCACAGGGCTATTTGCCATGCACTGTAACCCAGAAAGAACTTTTAGAAGCAGTCATGAATAACTTTGATTTCAAGGGGTGAGTGGTGAAGAAGATAAAAAAGCCAAGCTAAATATTTTTAATAGAAATGACTTCACTGTCAGAAGCTAAATGTAGACTGAGGTTATCCCTTCCTTCTTCCTGAAATCCCTCTCATTATTATGACAGTTTCTCACCCATCAGAAGCTTCTATTGCAGTTTTAAGTATACCTAAAATGCATGTATATAGGTCGAAATCAGACTAAAACATTTTGCTGTCTCTGTGAAAGGAAGGAGAATTCTCCCTGCTATTCCATATGCCAATGGCAATAAGATTGCCAAAGTGAAAATTTGACAGCGTTCCTGTACCTTTAGTGGTTATGTAGAAGAGGAAATTTTGGAAGTGTTGCTTGTTATGCAACCTGGTAAGCAACACAAGCTGATATTTCCTCTTTTGCACAATCATTAAAGGGACAGAAGCCCTCTTCAGTTTTCACTCCAGCAATCCTAGAAAGTAATAACTGAAAATCCCATCAATAAAACAAGGGCCTCCATCACACCAGAGGGCAACAGGGCATTGTTGCAGAACAACCATGGGAGAAGCGCATGGTGTTGTGAACAGACACAAGTGAAATGTCAGGAAGAAATTCTTCTAAAACACACCCTCATAGCCCAAAAAACTCACAAAAACCCTTAAAAATGGCTGTTAGTTATAACAGCTATTATTGAACCTTGATGACCCAAGAAAGACATTGTGAGGCAAGCTCAACTGCCTAATTATAAGCCCTACATTATTCAGAGCATACACTTGAAAAACAGTTGCTGGAAAGCAAAAACAACAGCAGGATATTGCAGTCCATGTTGCAGTGATCTGTGCTACACTTATGCAGGCCATCCTTCCTGTAGCTTAAACTACAGTATGTATAATTCTTCTCTAACCAGATAAACTGATAATCTTAAGCATTTTTCACAAGTGTATTGCTAGCTTTAAGATGTCTGGTGCTAATTTCAAAAGGTCTCATTCACTGCAGCTTAACATTTTGGCTTTCATACATCATTATTAAGAATATTTGACCAAAAATTGCAGCTTTTTAATTGTTTCATTACAGCATTCCCTGGTTCAATTGATCAGCTGTAGATGTCCTATTATTTCACATATAACTGCTTAGATTAATAAATGACTGCTCTAACCCATTGCCTTCAGCAGACTACTTTGACACTAGGCAACAATCTCAGCAAATTTCTAAGCTGCCTTAATTGTCAGTCTTGAGAAAAAGGTGGGGTATAAATAAAGATGAGATTATCTACTATCTGCTAATAAGCTATATTATGTGTGCGCATGTGCATGTCAGAAAATTAGATTTGCACATGTGTGCAAAAAGCAGAAATTATCAAATTTGGATACCTAAAAAAAGTGGTTGAAAGAGCCAATTTGGTGTAGTTATTTGAATATTTGACTACAACTCTAGGGACCCAGTGGGTTTCCCCACTCAGCCATAGAAACCAATTGGGTGATTCTGGGAAAGTCACATTCTCTCAGCCTCAGAGGAAAGCAAAAACCCCTCTGTAAAAACTGCTGGGAAAACTGTGATGGGGTGATATTAAGTCAGAAATGTTTGGAAAGCACATAACTTTGAGGAGTTTTAGTCCAAAAAAGAAAGGTATGCAAACTCTGATTGATGTATGAACATAGTATTGCTTCAGATGTCCATTTTTCTAAGATAGATTCTTCTTTCTTGCTCACCAGACAAGGTAGAAACTATAGAAATGGAAAAATAAGATCATGCCAATATGAACAGAATTAGATTGATTATATGCAAAAAGAAATGTTTTTACAGTATTTTGTTAATGTGTTAAAACAGAAACCAAAATATGAATCCCAAGCTTCCTTGTAGTGCTTGCTGCAAAGAATGCTGGGTAGATGATGAACAAGGAATTCTGTGCACTGTTAGGATGTGGAGTTAAAGTGGAAATGTACAGATGTGGGAAAATTCATTGAAAAGAATTTGATCCTGCAGGTGGCAAATGTAAACAATTCACACAAGGTCAGTGGCTTGGGAACACAGGAAGATAGAACATAAACAATGAGATCATCTTGTTGTCTGGGAACCAGGATCACATGACACATGACTCACAGCAAGAGGCTGGGTTAGAGGCTGGGTTAGAGGCAATTCAGCAAATTGTCTATGGAGGTATCCACTCATGGGAAGAATTTGTGGTTTGGCTTAGAGCCTGCTTTGTTCTTACAAATTATGCACTGTGTTGTGTGTGTTGGCTCTTATATTTCTTCCTGTAAGAAGATGGATGTATATAGTTTTCTCTCTACTATGAAATCAAGAATAAAAACCTTCTTTTGAAGAATCTTTGCTCTGGTGTGGCTTAATGAAAAGCTTGAATCTACAGAGAGCTGAAGGATGGCTGCATTCCAGGATAATGAGATCAGCTCAGCTCTGATCCAGAGACAAAGGTGGCTGATGGATGAAAGCCTGGCATTCCGGCACAAGATCTCTGCTACTACAACACCACCATAAATAAATCAACATGCACATCTGTTAGATTGTACATCACTGGAACATCCAGAAATATTACACTTGAAGATGCTACATAGGTTGCTTTTGCCATGAGTCCTTTTCTGATTTACATCTCCAGTATGTAGGATGTCACCAATATTCTTTAAAAAGTACTCGAGTTGGACATTGGGTATTTCTCAGACTGTCTTTTATTCCTGACCTAGGAAATAACAACCCAAGCAAGAGTTCTAGTTCAGGCACACATGGCCTTTCTTTTTCTAAAGCTAGCTACATCTATGTACAGTTTGATATATGTACCCATTTTTATAGTCAGAGTAGTAAAAGAGGATGAGTGCATTACTTGTGGATAAACTCAATCAAGGAAGCCACAGCCCTGTTTGCAAGATCTTAACAGGGTTAATAATAATTAGGTATCTTGGAGATTTCTTATTCACAGAGTTGTCATTAGGCAACCTCATTCATAGGGAAGCCAACTTGATGGCAAGTAACAGCTACATTTAATCTATGTACTATTATTTATTCTTACTCTCATCAAACAGTGACTCCTGCTTAAGGGGGAACTTCCATGTTTTGCCTGACATAGAGGGTAGATATGGGTAGATTGTAGATCTCTAAAATCTAGGACCCAAGCCAGGGACTTTTCGCTGATGATGATTGGTCTCCTAGGGGAAGGCCGCCTGCCTTTCAATATATTTCTCTTCTATCCACCATTGTTGTGCAACACACATCACCTAGGTATACATAGTCAAAGACTGAGAGGGTTGGAAAGGATTTTTATCCATGTCTGCCATTACCAAAGCAATATGTTGTGTTTTAACTATTCCACGTAACAGTGTCCTCATTGTGGGGAAAATAAATTTCAGTGTTACAGCATTTCAATATTTAGGAAGACACTGGAGACATTAGACAAGATTTACTTTATTTGTTATTGCTGCATGCCTTCAAGTTCTTTCCGCCTTATGGTGACCCTAAGACAAACCTATCATGAGGTTTTCTTGCTACGATTTGTTTAGGGGATGTTTGCCATTGCCTTCCCCTGAAGTTCAGAGCATGTGACTTGTGCAAGGTCACCCAGTGGTTTTCATGGTTGCGCCAGGAGTTGAACCCTGGTCTCCAGAATTGTAGTCCAACATTCAAACCATTACACCACACTGGCTCATATGCAAGGAACAAATAATTACAGTATAGTACTTTTCTCCCCCTTGCAGGAGAAAAAGAAAAATCACAGTATTCTGCTTGCATTGTATTGTCACATAGTCAAACAGGGCTTGTTTGCACACAGTTTGTTTTTCTCTGTGTAATAATTTATCTGTAACACTTCAAGACATTCATACACTGGGAGAAAAATGTCAAAAATTTTCTGTGGTCTATTATTCTTGCCAAGAGAGTTTTCCAGGTATTGGAAAACTTTTTTTTTTTACCTAGACATGAATAATTACAAATATTATTTCCTTCCTCCTATAGTGAGGGAAGCTTTCCTTCTATCTACGAAAGTTTTCCAGCATGTGAGTTGGAAGGATGTATCAGTTAGCAGTCACACTCACTGATATCTGGATCCTTGTCTGATATCTCACTGATATCTCACTGATATCTGGATCCTTGTCATATGTCACACTAAACTCTGCATATATTATAACTAAGAATGAGCAATAATTTTGCTTAGTTCATTTTTTTCTACAACAATGTTCAATATGCACAGTTATTTATAAATTCAGTAAAATGAATTTGTAATAATAATAATAATAATAATAATAATAATAATAATAGTGGAAAATGGGCAGATTTGCCCATTTGGATAGTGGGTTTTCAGTGTTTACTTTTGCCAAGTCTGGCTTTTAATCTCACTGAATTCAATCAAATGTGTGGTATTGAATTCAGGTTGCCACCTCTCTGTACTGATTTCTTCCCTTTAGGAGATACATGACAGACACAACATAATCATTTCCACATTTGGAATACTTTTACCCACTAAATTTGACCAGTGCAGATGGTTTTGTTCATTTTGGTTTTGATAAGAACTTTCTCAAATATGCATAAACCGGGTGGAAACAACTTAAAGGATTTTTTAAATGAGATTTTCTCATTCATTGTCATAATATAAATAAGGTTGTGGCCATTTTAAATCAATTTCTTGCTGAAGAGAAAATTTTGCTCTCTTTCTCCTCTTTGCCATGTTTTGTTTTGCAAAGATAGCTAAGAACAAATCTGTTGGTGCAAAAAACAGGGAACACTAACACATGATTAAGTAATGGCCAAGACTTAGTATATTGTTTCCACTTCTGCACACCAGACATTTTAAATAAATATTTTAATTCTATTATTGGCATTTACACATAGAAAGAATACAGTATGTTACAATTTTATCAAAATGTGAAAATATGAATGTTACATAAGTAACGAATGTAAAAAAAGAAATTATTTTTCTTACTTTCCCTGAAAGTAAGAAAACTATTCAATATAGGAAAATATTGATACCACAAACACATGTTTAGCTTGAAAAGGAAAGTGAGAGAGAAACAATCTCACCAAAACCCCACTATTTTTTTACACAGTACAATAGGAGCTGCATGAAAATATGCGGTATTTCTACAACAAGAAATTTTAAAATATCAGGATTTAGAAGTGTGAATCTAGGATTTCCCTTCAATACCAGGTCAATTCTTAAATATTTTGCACTTGGGTATGAATACTGAGTACAAAACATATGTATATGATATCAGTAATGAATTATGCATGTGTACATGTAGATAATACTACTTTCCCCACTGAAACACATGCATGCAGTGTCTCCTGCTTGTAGTGTGCATTTTAAAAAGAAAACAGAGGTGCATGTGCCATTCATAACTGATACAATATGGACATTGTTACAAGCTGTCTTCTGTTTGAAGAAAGCAATGATTTTTCTTTCCAATATTATTTTTAAAAATTCAAATGCTTCTTGTCATTGAATATTTTGTGATGGAGCCAAACAAAAATTGCTTCAAGGTCCTATAAGCAAGGCAGCACTCACAATAATAAATACCAGTATAATTGTATAGGCAAACAATCCTCACAATGGCCTTCTGTGATGTAGACCAGCCATTTTTACAACTTTCTGTTTTATAAATGGCAAAACCGGAACATCGATACTAAATGGTTGCCTAGACCAGGATGGGAATCATGCTGCTTTCCAGGTATTTCTAGACTACAACTCCTAACAAGCCTAGCCAGCATGTTAAATAGTGAGGAATGCAGTAAGTTGCAAGTGAAAGATATCTGAAGAGCCCCTGGCCTAAACTAGGCCAGGTCAGTGATAAAATTGAGATTGAACTAAAATTATTGGCCTTATTCTTTTAGCCTTTGTCTTGCACTTAGCCACACTACCTCTTCTACACTACTTCTACCACTCTGAATTCTATCTTTTCTATAGATTCTACTGTTTTGTTCAATTTGATGATGTCCCTTGTTTTCCATACTAGCTAGAAATATAGTCTGTTGGGGAAAATAAGAATAGAAATTCAGAAGTTCTCACACAACCTTGTCAAAAATAATAAAATCTTAAAGTGCTGATGAGCTTGAGCAGGTTTATAGCACCTCATATATTGAAAAAAGATAGTACAGCAATTACTCAAGCTTATCGTTCTTTAAAGTATCCACATCTGAACAACTGTGTGATATAGGAAGTACACTTTCAAAGAAACCCAATAGCATTGTTCCTTCATCCAGCTTCTGTGGAATTGCTACAAATATCTCCCAACAAAAACAATGTATTTGACATTTTTGCATTTCAGAACCACATATTGAAATTGAGTACATGTACACTCTTCACAATAAACCATCTTGTCCATTTTTAAAACTGATCATTATTAATTTAAAAATCACAAACAAAACATGTCCAAACGCTGCATGCCAAATACCTTGTTTAGAAATATAATGCATGCAGAAGAAGCAAATTCAACCAATCCCAATTAAATTAAACAACAAAAATTTACTTGTCTATTTCAGCAGCATAATGGCGATAATTTTTTTTTTAAAAATGTATCCTAACCACTGGCCCTGGATTAAAAGAAAAGAAAAGTCTGCTCTTCTCTTATTTGCAATGGTAGAAATGGCTTGAATGTTCTATGATTTTGGATTTTGATAAAGAAGTTCTATACATACTGTTCGGCTTCCCCATCTTTTGGTTGTGTTGTACTATTTTTGCTCTCTTCATTTGTGTTTCCTGCTGTCTTTTCTGGAAGAGAGGCTAAATCTTTAAAAACATCAACATAATGACCAAATCCTGGGCCCCAGTTCAAAAGGTTGTCCCAGTTGAAATTCCCACCTTGTGGCCCAACTTTTAATGGTGACATGTTGTCTTGAATGATGGGTGGAGTGGCTTGTGCACCCACAGGCCCACCACCCTCTCCTCTGCGGCCTGGGTATCTCCTAGGTTTCAGCCTAGCACCATAATTGTCTTCATCATCTGCATCTGACTCATTCACTTGAGATAATTTGGGCATTCTGGAACTGTAAACCATGGGCTTTTCCCTGTCATACTCCATCTCAGAACATGTAAAAGAGTCATGGGAATCACTGTCAGATGAAGATTCTGGTGCTGGAATGCCATCAGCTGGATTTCGTGTTCGTGACAGTGGCCTTCTGCAGTCCTCTTCAGAAGAAGATCTTCCATGGTCAGCACTACAGATGCTTGGATTTCTAGGCCGTGGTGTGTTAAGCCTCTCCACTTCTTCAATGGAAAGTCCTACAGGAGGACCACTTTCCAAGGGAATCTGTCCTATTGGTTGCTTTAAGCGGCTTCCTGGCCTAGAACTATGAGTTCCCATCATTTGAGGACTCTTGCTTCTTCTCCCCAGTCTAGCAGGATAGTTAAAAATGCCTGTTTGGCAAACATCACTATGCATTTCCATAGGGCTCCCTTCTCTTACTGACAGATGCATTTCTCTTGCTGGGCTGTTTCTGTAGAAAGTTGATGATTTGGAAAATGGAGCAGGACTATGACGAGAAAGATGGTTGGGTGTAGGGCATGCAGAATGACTTAAGGATGCTGTCCTTAGGCCTTGACCATAGGATGGTTGGTAAGTTAAGCTGCTTGCTCCCAAGGGCATAGGTGACTGCCTGGCAAAGCCCAATGGACTGTGTCTCTGAATGGAAAATTTAGGAGTATGACTTCGGAACTGCTTGTAGTGCTGAATGATATCTGCATCTGATGGAGCTATGCTGCTTGCATTGTCAATGTCATAGTGTTCTATCTCTGCTTCAGGGGATGCTAGAGGGGCACTGGGTACAGTCTCTGTGTTGTGTGGTATGTCTGTCTCATCAAAGATGAGATAAGGGTTTTCTCGTTCGATTATATCAGGCTTAGGATTTCCTTCAGGCTGCTTTCGAATAGTCATATCATCGCCATAAGGTGGTATGTTATCAGGGTCATCAAAGGCATCATTCTCACTCCCCTTCTTTTTCTTTTCCTTTGTTTTCTTTTCCTCTTTTGGCACTTTTGCCTTTTTTCTTTTGCACTGATTGCATAGGATCAAGCTAAGAACAAGCAATGCCAGCACAGTAGCACAGCTGCCAACAATGGCAGGAACAGCCCACAGTGGCAAGGAGAGTTCAGCTGGGTAAGGCTGAGGGATACATATATGGCCTCCATTTGTTCCTCCTTTGCATACATGTCCATGGGCACACATGACACCAAGGCAAGCCACTATTATTTCACATGTCCTTCCAGTATAAGGTTCAGGACAGTTGCATACAAATCCAGCTCTCTCTCCAGGCTCACAGCTGCCACCATTCTGACAGGGGTTGGAGGCACATGCTCCAGGAGGCACACACTTGTAAGTATACCACTGGTTAATGCACATTAATTCTCCCCCACAGGGATTGCTGGCACAGATATTGGGTCCTCGGCAACCAATCTTCACAGAGGGGTCTGTTTTTGATATAGTAGCAAGGCTGTGTTTTCCTATGAAGGGAAGACTTTCTTCACCATATTTCAGGTAGGCAATGCAGCCATCAAAATCTAGTAAAACAGAGAGAAAAACAACTTTAGAAGTTGGAAGAGCTTAAGTTTTAAAGCAAATGTTAACTTAATTGGATAGCTGTGGTGGAGGAAAAACAGTAGGGAAGCAGCAGCAGCTATGATATTTGTAAGGCAAATACACAGACACATGCATGGGT